GAGAGAGAGAGAGAGAGAGAGAGAGAGATTCAAATTACTGAATTAATCTATTAAATTGTTTGATAATTTAAATAATAAACATGTAATAATTTTCTAATGCTTTATTAAAACAAATTCTTAATATACAGATCCAATATTAACAAACAAAATTAATTAGTAATGCACTAAATTAAAACCTCCATAATATTTGCTTTGAACTGGTTCCGCAGTAATCTTCTTGATCCAATCTAAATAGGCGGACACGCGGGTAAAAACGCTCGATGCTTTTTGCGATCCACATTTACCACCTTGCCCATAAGATACAATACCAGTTTGCACCCAGTGTATTATAACCCCACATACAAATGCTGCACTGCAATATACCTACTTTGTGATAAATCTGGTATTGTGTGGGAATCATGTGTGTATAGTACATCTACTCTGTGCTCAAGCAATACGGAAATGTAGCTAAGTTTGCGCAAACGCGAGCATACGTCAATGTACACATCAAAGGCAGTAGTATAGAGAAACGCAAATAAAACACTGGCACGATATAGTGCCAGTTCTCCTGCTGCCACCACTATGTATTGAGATGTGTGTCTCGTGTTCAATGAATTGTAATGCATTTATGTGTTTGAGTGCCCTGTGTTTTGTAGAAGTAATACGCCACTGGTAATAGGTACACTACAAACGTATGTGTATGTCATTATAAATTTGTTGTACGCCACCAATTACTACAACATTAGCCACAAAACGCGTGTTTGAATCACAACAACAGTCGAAGTGTTTGTTATGATTAGTTTGATTATAGTTTAATAATTATATCATTACTATTAGGTAAGAAAAATACTGTAAAATAACCCCCATATTCTTACCTAGGTAAGAAAATGGGGGTTTGTTTTACAAGACTATTGTAATGATAATTAAATTTTAATATTTGTCTAATATATTGAATTGTTTAATGATATGTAATAATAATGAGTCGCAAAGTTTTGCTAAATCAACAACAGATTGAAGACCTATTAGATGAAGAGGAAGCGGACGACATCTCAAGCGGTAGTGAATGTGATGCGATGGAAGAATCTGATCATTTGACCGACACTGAACAGAGCGCTAATAGTGCTGAAGATGAAGAAGACACCCGAGACATAGCATCCAATTGCAATTCATCACAATCGAGCCAAAAAAGTCAAACTATTATGACAAAAAAATGCGGACCAATAATAACTAAATCAATGGCCAATAATAATTATGTGCTATTCAATAGATTTATAATTATTGTACAGATTGTAAAAGTGCTGATTATACTGAGTAATGGTTGTAATTTTATTAAATAAAATATTTTAAAACTTAATCTTTTGTATTTACTTATTTGTTAGACATCTAACCCCTTGTTTTCATATCTAGATATGAATACAAGGGGTTTTAAAATTGTTACAAAAATTATAAACGTTATTTGTTGTTTTTTGTGCTGGTATTGACATACAATCACGTGTAACGTGACTCCCACAGATAGTCAACGCCTCTCTTGAATACACTTTCTAATCAGAGCCATCTATAAGTCCCTGTGCTCCACATTTCACTGTCTTACAGCCTGATATTTGTCTGACAATTCCATGCGTGTTCATCCAATAAGGGTTCTACTTAGGTGTTAAAGTAAATCTACATATTAATATTCTAAAAATAATATTATATTATTGACTACATTTACAGCTAAACAAATATAACCTTTGTAAAGTTTATTGAGATTATTTAAATTTCATTTTTTATCTAGTTACTTTAAATTCATTTGCAGTTACGCCAAACTTTTTAATTGCTTAATTTGTTGTTCACATTTTCTTAGTTATTATCAATACGAAGCTTATTTGTAATGATTAAACAATTATTTTTTACCAGCCTGATATTTACACTGCTGTTAAAGTCGCATTAAAGTTATCATGCCAGAACTCGTTTACCCACGGAGATTAATACACGGATATTATTTTATATAAATTGCTATAATTACACAAATATCATTAGAAAACAACAATCAAATAAAGTTTATTTAAATTTAAAACTTTACTTAACAAACAAAATGATTGCATTCATCGCGTGTTTGGCACTATTATTGGCCACAACTGTCTCATCAAACCCGATGCTATTTAAAGATTGTGGTTTGTATTAATACAATTAAGGTATTATTATTTTTAAATTAACCATGCTAATTGCTTTAGTAACTAAGGCTGGGATTACGAAAACTTTTAACATTGAAGGCTGCGATGGAAGTCACGTTTGTACACTAAAGGGTGGCAATAAATTGTCTGTTTCTTTAGATTACCAAGTTGGTAAGTAATGAAATTAATAAATTATTATTCTTAATTAATGTTTAATTAATCTCTCTCATTCTAGACCTATAACGGGCAAAATTTACACTGAGTGTAAATTTCAATTAAAAAATGACTGTTTATACATTGACTGTATATGAACTTTAATGCATTTTTTTTATTGCTGCCCATTGTAGTTCTAGACTATGACGACACTGAGGCCAGGTTTGAAATGTTTGCCCACTGGAGCCCAACCCCCGGTCAAGTAGTGGTATCTGATTTGATCTCATCAACCGATGCGTGTCATTACACCGCCTGTCCTATACGTAAAGGTGTTGCCCAGAAGTTGACTCTCGACACGACTGTGCGCTACGATGTATTCAACGTAGACGTCCATAACGTGACACTATATGCCCAAATTCACGGTATAAAATCCGGGCACCTTTTGGAGTGCACTTCGGTTACGGTGGATATCCTTAAATAAATAATTAATGTATTAAAACTAAAATTAATTAATTAAACATTATTACGATATGTGAATGTATAAATAAAATAGTCTACTAAATACAATTATTTTAATTACAACTTCCAGTTTTAAACATACTAGTTAATGTTATCTTAATGTTATTTAATGATAATATACTGTACCTTAAATTTATTTATTTACTACTAATTTATTGTATAAGTATATCATTTATATAAAATATTGTTATTATTACAATATACTGTAAGTAGAAACATAAAGTAAATTGATTATAAGTAATTATTTAGTATTCAGGAGCTTGTTCTAGGTGCAGGTCTAGGAGCAACACCTGGATCTATATATTTCAGAACTTGCGCCTCGAGACGACTGTGCGCTACGATATATTCAACCAAGACGTTTATAACGTGACACTATTTGCCCAGATTCACGGCAAATCATCAGGGCACCTTTTGGAGTGCACCACGGTCACTGTGAATATACTTAAATAATCTATTTCACAATTGTTTATTTCAAATAACACCTAATAAAATTCCCAATAAAATAAACTAATTAAACATTATTACAATATGCAAATGTAAAACATTTCAGTTTTAGACATACTATTTAATGTTATTTTATAATTAATATATTTTAATTTGATTTATTTGCTTTTGTTTTATTTTATAAATATATCATTTATATAAAATATTGTTATTATTACAATATAAGTAGAAATATACAATATATATTAAATTGATGACGAGTAATTACTAATTATTGATATTTAAAATTAAAGACTGCTACCTTGATAACATACATAATCAATAATTTATTAAGCTCAAGTGATATCTATATTATTGTTATTAACTATGAAGCAGTGTAGCAAGAATTATTCATAGTTAAGGAACTAGGTTAACATTTAATCCAATACTTATATTTGGTAATTTCTAAAGAATCGACACTCTATGTTTAACTACTGATTGTAGCATAAAGATTAATTTTTCAATTGCAATACTTATCTAGTTACTTTAAATTCATGTGAATTTATGCCAATTTTTTTCATAGCTTAATTTGTTGTTCATATTTTATTATATAAGTTCATGTGTTCATATTATCTTATATTAGTTTATATTATACGTACTACAAGTACTAAGAATATACAAGATATACAGAATATTCTAAGAATCGTTGTAATGATTAAGTAATTATTTTTTACCAGCCTGATATGTACACTACTAGTAGTCGCATTTAAAGTTATCATGCAAGAACACGCTCATCTACGTAGATTAATACACGGATATTATTTTATATAAATTGCTATAAATTTTACATAAATATCATTAGAAAACAAGAATTAAATAAAGTTTATTTGAAAGCGACTTTAATTAAACAAACAAAATGATTGCATTCACAGCGTGTTTGGCACTATTGTTGGCCACAACTGTCTCATCAAACCCTATGCTATTTAAAGATTGTGGTTTGTATTAGTATTATACAATTAAATTATTATTTGATTAATTGAGGATGCTAATTACTTTAGTAACTAGAGCTGGAATTACTAAGACTTTTGACATTGATGGCTGCGATGGAACCCACCATTGTGAACTTGTGGGTGGTAATAAATTATCTGTTTCTATAGATTACCAAGTTGGTAAGTAATAAAATTAATAAATTGGTATTTTTGTTACATTTGTTTCATTAATAATCAAATATTTGAAAGTATTTATTAATAATAAATAAATAATTTATATTGATTAATGAATTAGTATAAAATAAATTAAAATTCTCTCTCTCTCTCTCTCTCTCGCACTCACTCTAGACTATGACGACACTGAACCTCGTTTTGAACTGTTTGCTCACTGGAACCGAAGTGGTCAAGTAATGGTATCTGATTTGGTCTCGTATACCGACGCCTGTCATTACACTCCCTGTCCTATACGTAAAGGTGTGGCCCAGAAGTTGACTCTCAACACGACTGTACGCCACGATATATTTCCCGAAGACGTCTTTAACGTAACACTATTTGCCCAGATTCACGGCAAATCATCAGGGCACTTTTTGGAGTGCACCTCGGTCAATGTGGATATACTTTAATAAATTGTTATTTTATAATTGTTTAATAATAATTGTTTTTTTTTAAATTTTACCTGATGAAGTTTTAAAAAATAAACTAATTAAACATTATTACAATACGTAAATGCAAATAATTTTGAAATATACAATTATTTTAACTAACCGCTCACAGTTTTAAACATACTATTTAATGTATGTAAACTTTTAACTTGATTTATTTACTTTTGTTTTAGTTTATAAATATATCGTTCATATAAAATATCGTTACCATTACAATATAAGTAGAAACAAAAAGTAAATTGATGATGAGTAATTACTGATATTTAAAATTACAGACTGCTACCTTGATTAGATACCATACATAAGCAATAATCTATTAAGCTCAAATGATATCTATATTATTGTTATTAACAAAGAAAAGTTACCATTATAATAACAAAATAAAATAGAAATTACAGCACAATAAACTTTTACTTTCATAAACTAAAAATAAAAATATAATGGGCCAAACAAATTCAACCTCGGTTAATGAAACACCCAATAAAAATGATGTTATTCTATGCGATGAGTCTGACGAGGATTGTCAAGGTAAACAAATAACTTATTAAATAAGAAAAACAATTAAACATGGTGATTAATATAAAATATAAAAGATAATAAATTATTTAATCGTTCTAGATTTTATACAGGTACATTAAATTAATAAATTAATTTTTGTTTAAAAACCTATTTATTTAGATATATTTTTTTTTTAATAAACATTAATTTGTTATAAATTCTTTATTTAAACTATTTACCACCATCAGATGAAACAATCACAACTAAACAATATAACCTAGCTCAACCTAGTGAGTCATCGTACGAACAATCACTGAAAAGCATATTTACCGAAATGGAGAGCACAGTGTTTGCCAACGTAGTCAACACAAACGGGGCTACATCACCAACAGCATCATGGACAATCAACCACCCGGAACATGTTGACTTAAACAGTTCAAACGAGCAAGCAGACATAAACTACACAACCGATGACCAGGGCGAAATTGTAGGCTCCGATGAATTTTACCAACACGTCAACCAAGAGCTACTGGCGGTGGAAGAGGGGGCGCGTACTTTGAGACAACGTTTTAACCATCTATGGCGCCTAATACCGAAATGTGAGCGTGGTGCTTTTATGACGTTTTCAACCAGGGTGTTCTCGGTGATCAAATGGCTGTGGGACAAACTGGTGTACATGTTTGACCGGGTGTGCTATTGGGGCGCCCGTGGCTGGCAGTATGTGCGCGACCTGTTTAACAAAGCCTGGAACGATATTAATTCGCTCCTGGTCAGTTATTTTGGTAACGAGAATGCCAAGGTGCTTAAAATTAATTAATTCATGTAATACCTTAGTTGTGATTTATTAACACATTTAATAAAATGAATGTTAACTTACACATTAAAAATGTTTATTGATATATTTTGGATCAATAATTTTATTGTTATTTTCTCTTTTCATTTAGTGAGCACTTAAAATAAAAGTAAACTTTTAAAATAAACTTTATATTTGTGTTATTAATAGTGACCCCACAGGGGGGCTAACCCTTACACCTCGCTTAATGATAAATAATAATTTTTATTATTTACAATAAAATTTACACATAATTGACACAACTATAAGGTAGACATAGTTTTATTACATTAAATTTAATTAAAAGTGCAGCTGTGATCAAAAAATTTTACAAAAAGTTCTTATTAATAATACTAATATAATAACTATTCTATTATATTCACAATAAACTAAATATTATAATTTATAAATATGGGTCAATCAAAATCTCTCCCGATGGCCGATGAAACAGCTAGTAGCATAAATCACGATATATTTAGCGAGCTGGATTTATATATTGAAGGTAAGAAATAATGTAATTATTAAATAATAACATAATTAATTTTATTACAAAATAAATTTAGAATACTTATTCATACTGTTTGTAAGTTATTTTAAATATACTTTTGTAACTATTTTTTTTATTAGTTTTATTTCTAAAATACATAATTAGATAATTGTATAAATTTATGTGAAAATTCAGGAAAGTCATCAGAGTCATCTCGGCGCATATCAAACCTAGATGAAATATCAATAAATTCATCCCTGTTGAACATTAATACAAACCCGGCTGACTCAGAATTTTTATCCGACGACGATGAATTTGTAGATTGCCCAGATTCGTTCAGTCAAACTGTGGTGAAGCAATTAAACCAAGGTGCAAGTGGGTCGGAGAGCTCGAGCGATTTTTGCAATAAAATCTATGAAAGGTTAGGCGCTCTCGTGGAGGAGATGCGTGATATTACAGACACGTTTGAGCGAGAGTTGCCACATATACCTGAAAATAAGCGTGATCCATTCAGACGATTTTGGCACAAGGTGTTGACCGTGCTTAGTCACCTCCGAGGTAAATTGGCTAACCTAGTTCAGCGACTATGCGATTGTGTGGCCCAGGAGTGGCAGTACGTGCGCCAGCTCAGTGTCACAGTCATGCGGCATATTGATGTATTCTGGTCACGCTATGCAACAATCGCCAGCATTATCATAAATGTTAGCTGTAGCATTTGATACAAACTAATTTAGGTGTCAAACTAATATGCTACTAATTTATAAATTTAAATTACATTTAAATAGTTCTTATCTTATTTTATTTTAACATTTTTCTGTTTATAAATCGTGTTTTTTTAAAAATTTTGTTAACCATTAATTGTTATTAATTTATATTGTGTTACAGCTTAAAAGTTATTACAGTATAATATTCTTGTCAATTATACATTTATCTAATTATACTATTATTGTTAGTTTGGATATTAGATTTAAAATTAAATTATATTTAAATATATTTTAAAATTATTTAATATGTATAATAAAACCTAATTTATTATTATTTATGTCTTAAAAGCATTTATTTAATATGTTA